GGGGCCTTCGCAAAGCGTTCACTCTTGCGATGGCAAAAAACCATCACAAAGCGATTTTATCGCTATATGTAGCGATCGCTATGTGAGGCACCACTGTAGTTCTTATTCTCAGCTGCCGCTTGGATGGATGTGCTAGTTTGCATCTTCAACAACAGCATCATCCTATACACATCCTATTCAAACAAAATTGATCTCAAGGAAACAACAAGAGTTTATAAGCACAGGAAATGTATGCTAAGGAAAAGAAAGGTAGTGTGAATGGAGAATATCTGTTAATAGCACAAAAACTGTGACTACCCAAATTTCAGTAAGACTCCCTCCTCCAAACTCACATCCACCAATGGCTCCCTTAAAAAGTACAGTGGTGCCTTGCTTAGCAATGTTAATCGGTGCAGCAAAAATTGCTGATAAGCGATAACATCGCTAAGCGATTTTAAAAAGCCCATAGAAACGCATTAAAACGTGTTTAATGTGTTCCTATGGGCTTAAAAACAACCTCCATTGCGGCAGCCATTTTTGGTGCCTCTAAAGCGAGGCAAAACAGCGGGCGGCCATTTTTTCCCCGGCGGCCATTTTGGAACCGCCAATCAGCTGGCCGAAAATGGGGGCTTTGCAATGATCGCTTCCCCGCGATCATCGCAAACCGAATTTTCCCCATAGGAAACATTGCAAAGCGATCACTTATGCGATCACAAAAACTGCGTCGCTAAGCGATTTCGCCATAAAACGGAGCGATCGCTAAGCGAGGCACCACTGTAGTTACATGGGAGCCTTGGAACCTTCAGGGGAGAAATTGGATATGTTTTATTTCTGAGAGATCACCACTGCTATGCTGTCATCAGTCTTATGCATCGTAACGTATGGCAAAGGATAGAAGGATTCTATCACCATGCCCTAAGTCGTGCCCTCCAGGTGATTTGAACACTAACTCCCACTTGCTGCATGTAGCATGATCGATCATCAGCATAGCCAATCATGAGTGCAGTCCAAAGCATTTGGAGGGCACCAGCATGGAGAATATTACAGCACACGAACAGCAAACCCAATTGTCTCAATCCCCATTCAATCATTGCTATATTCTTTCTTCAATACAAGAGGCAGCAAGAGTTTGAGCCAGGTACTTTCTCCTCCTTTGCTGAGATAAATGGCTACAATAAGGACCGAATAGGACTCTAATATAGTTCCTCATGCAATCCCAAAGCATGATCCTTATGTCTACACAAGGATGAGGAATCAGCAGATATGGAAAACTCCACAGTTTACAGACATACACAAAACACAAAAACATTCAGGGGCCAAATATATACATATATTGAGGGGGAAACTGTCTATTGTCAGTAATGGACTGGATGAGAGTGAATAAACTGAAACTTAAATTAGCCGAGACAGAGGTCAGTTGAAAGGCAGATGAAGGAACAGGGATGCAGCCTGTGCCGAAGGGGTTTACATTACCTCTGAAAATACAGGTACCTGGCTTGGGGCTGCTTCTGAATTCATTTCTGATCCTGGATGCCCAGATTTTGGTGGTGTTCACCAGTTAAAACTAGTGTGCCAGATTTGCCCATTCCTAGAGAGGTCAAATCTGGCCACAGTGACTCATTCCTTGGCTACATCCCGAATAGATTACAGCAACACATTCTACATGAGGCTGCTGCCTCTAGAACATGTCAGGAAACTTCAGTAGGCCCAAAACACAGCAGCCAGATTGCTCAATGGAACTCGGTTCACCAGCTCCACTGACTGTTGATCCATTTCTGGGCATAATTCAAAGTGTGGGTTTTAAACTATAAGGCCTTAAATGGCTGGGGTCCAAGTTATCTCAAGGGTCCAAGTTATCTCAATTATCTAAGGCTCTCCTTATGAGCCTGTTCAGGTGTTAAGATCTTCAGGAGAGGCTTTTCCCTTGGTCCCTCCACCTTCATAAGCGCATTTGGTGGGGACACAATAGAGGGTCTTCTCTGTTCCTGCTGCCAGACGTTGGAACTTCCTCCCACATGAGGCCAAGCTGGACCCATCTCTGCTGTCCTTCTGCAAGGAAGTGAAGACCTTTGTCTTCAGGCAAGCCTTTCCTTACTGACCGGCTGCCTAAGTGCAGTTTTTAAAATGTTGTACCTTACGGCTTTGAGTGTGTTCTGTGTGTTGCTTTTAGTATGGCATTTGTTTGATCCTTTTTAATACCGTGTTTCTCCGAAAATAAGACAGGGTCTTATATTAATTTTTGCTCCAAAAAAATGCATTAGGGCTTATTTTCTGGGGATGTTTTTTTTCATGCACAACAATTTACATTTATTCAAATACAGCAATGCAGTCTTTGGGTTCCTGCATTTAACTGGGGCTTATTTTTGGGGTATGGCTTATATTACAAGCATCCTGAAAAATAATACTAGGGCTTATTTTCAGGTTAGGTCTTATTTTGGGGGAAACAGGGTATTTGTATACTCACTGTCGTTAGCTTTAAATACTGTATTTTAATTTTGTAAACCACCTTAGGTCCTTTTTAATGGAAAAGCCCATGTAAAAATATTATGAATAAATTAATTAAATAAACTTATCTGCAACATGCTTACTGAGCATCCATGGTAACTGGTGGTTGGGGGAGGGAAGGAAATCAATTTGAGAAAGGGAAATGGAATGGAACATTTTGAGAGGCACACCCGGTTTGTCTGTACCTTAGGAAGCAGTATTTTGCTACATGCCCTATGTGTGTTCCTTTTTATTAGTCTGGTACAGCTGTCTAACAAACACACTCTCACTTCTCATTTTATACCTTCAAATGAGAACAACAAAACTGAAACAGTTTCAAATCTAAAAAGCCACTTTCCCCAAGAACAAAGCATTTTCACTTTCAACAGTGAAACAGATCCAACAGTGTGGGTGATGCTGCTCCTGAATATACAGGATCTGACTACAGACCACAAAGCAACTGTTTCTGTAGAATCAGAAGCAACAGAGACTCCATGATTTCAAAGAAAACATTTTCAATTGTACCAGCTATTCATGTTATTCATATTACTGTTTTTACTAAAAAATATCCTTTTGGTCTTTATGTATAGTCCTATTCTAAATACAGCTAAGAACAAACAGCCTTCTGAGACTCTGGATATTATATGTGGGCAGTGAAACTGGGCAATTTCATTGGGAATGTGCTGTTTGTTTTCTTTTGGACTCCAGCTCCCAGAATTCCCTAGGCAGAATCCTGGGAGTTCCAGCCCACACACTCACACATATACCCACCTACATTTTGCTCACCTGGACCAGGAGCTATCTCCAAGGCTGCATGGCTGTCTCAGGTCTTGCTTCCTTTTGGTAATGCATGAAAAAAATAAACTGAGACAAAGCTTCCTAGAGGTCCTAGTTCTTGAGATGGCACTCTCTACAGAGGCTGAAAGGCAGTGAGACTACGACTTTTAGGAAACATTTGTCCCTCAGCCCAGGTGAGCAAAAAATAAGTAAGCCTATAAATATGGGTCTGTGGGCTGGAGTTCCCATGATTCTGCCTGGATAACTCTAGATGCTGGAGTCCAAAACAAATCAAAACAGCAACAATCTAAATAGCACATCCCTAAATTTAAGGCCACCAGTAATTATAGAGGGGACTGTACAGTGAAGAACAAGGTACAGTGGTGCCCCGCATAACGGGCGCCCCGTTTAACGACGAATCCACATAGCAATGGCTTTTTTGTGATCGCATAGCGATGTTTTAAATGGTAAAACATCGCTTTGCGATGATCGGTAAGCTGTTTCGCTTACCGATTTTCGCATAGCGATGTTTTTTCTAACAGCTGATCGGTGGTTCCAAAATGGCTGCCGGGTTAAAAAAATGGCTGCCCGCAGTGTTTTTGCGCCCTTTCCTCGCTTGACGGGCAGCGAAAATGGTGGCCATATGGAGGATTTTCGTATAATGGTGAGTTTTGTGCTCATAGGAACGCATTAAACGTGTTTTAATGCATTGCTATGGGCTCTTTTGTTCCGCATAGCGACGAATCCATATAGCGACAATTTTTCGGAATGGATTATCGTCGCTATGCGGGGCACCACTGTACATGCATACATTCCTAAACCACCTCTTGACCTTACTTTACTGGTAGTAAGTAAAGCGAGAACAAGAATGTTGAATTTCATCCATGAGAATTTTTCCAAAATTTCACCTTCTTCTGACTTTTCTTTTCCTAAAGAATTTACTTTCTATTAAACTAAATAAAAAATTCTTCACAGGAGAAATATTCAGCAGAGCACAAATTCTAAACATAGAACTTGCTACCACTGTTGACAATCTACAGATGAAACACAGTCCCTAAAAATGGATTACAAAAACAGCACATCTGAGCTAAATAAATTATAATATCAATCTTTACTTGGTCTTCCACATCTTCAGGAACAAAAGAATGGGGGGGGACAGGACCAAAATAGAACTTCCCCATTTCTTGTCAATCTTGTACCTGATCTTATTCACAAATGATAATGCAAAATTATCTATGCAATCATCAAATATAGACACATCTTAAACGGCATCCTTTAAATCCTATTACTGAGGCTACGTCGCTAGCCGCCTAGAGTGGTCTTTTAGGCCAGATGGGCGGGGTATAAATCAATAAAACAAACAAACAAACAAATAAATAGTACAAGAGTATTCTTGACAATCTAGTTTCCCATTTTATAGGCCTTCACTGAATATATACTATGAAGAGGAAAGCAGTAATTTATTGTAGGCACTTTATAAAGGTCCATTTCTGACTAAACCTCATAAAATTCCTGTTGTCATGCTTACTGAGGAATCCTGGGCACAGTAATTTAAAATGTAATTTTCAAAACTCTTAGTATGATCCAGGGCTTATGCACATAGGGCGGTATCAGTTCATTCCCCCAGCAAACAGAACAGGTTCAATCAACAGAGCAAGTAGTAAATGTGCTTCCTCCTTCACCCCACCCCACCCAGATATCCTCCAGATCAGTTCCAAAAAGCTTCAGTGGTTCTTAACCTTTGTTACTCAGGTGTTTTTGAACTGCAACTCCCAGAAACCCCAGCCAGCAGAGCTGATGGTGAAGGCTTCTGGGAGTTGCAGTCCAAAAACATCTGAGTAACAAAGGTTAAGAACCAGTGAGCTAGATGACCCTCTGGAGGAGATTCAGGGTGAGACATGGGTGCTGTAACAGGAATCAGAGCAAGAGCAATTCCCAGTACATAAAGGAAAGTATGTCCATAAGGTAGTTGATTTCATCTTTACATATGCAAAGCAGACTGTACTGATATGATCTGTTCAGTACAAAAGAGAAGAAGTCAACTTGCTCAGGTGGAACCTAATCATGTACAGATGTATACAAAGAGGTGACAATTCACACTGAATGCCCTAAATATATGTGGGAAGCATAAGCTTAATCTTCCTATGAACCTCAACAGTGCATGATTTAACACCCACCAATTTTACTTCTCATTGCTTTTTGACTACAGTGGTGCCCCGCATAGCGACGTTAACCCGTTCCGGATTAATCGTCGCTATCCGGAAACATCGCAACGCGGGTGGAAAACCCCCTATGGGCCCGAAACTCACCATTATGCAAAGATCCTCCATAGTGCTGCCATTTTCACACCCTCGGTAAGTGAGGAAATCACGCGAAAATGGTTGTGGCGGCCATTTTGGAACTGCTGATCAGCTGGCCGAAAATGGGGCCAGCACTGGGGCAGGAGGGCGGGGAAGGCACCCCCGCCCTCCTCCCGAAGCCCTCCTCCCGAGCGCACACCGGCTTTTTTGGCTGGCTGACCAGCCGGGTGCTTGGCCAGGAGGGCGGGGGAAGGCTCCTCCGCCCTCCTCCTGAGCGCACCCCAGCTTTTTCGGCCGGCGCTTGGCCAGGAGGGCGGGGGAAGGCTCATCTGCCCT